TGGTTTGCTGTTTTGAGGCATTTCTTCATATCAAAAACGTTGCCATATTCATAAAAACTAATATCGGGATTATGGTGAAAATTTTATTTTTCTTTACAAACACTTGGTAATTCCTATAGTTCTTTTAAGTACTCAATATGTCTAATGATGTTCATTATGATTTCTAAGTTTTCCTAAATTCATTCACACTGGTATTCGAGTTATGATCAAACTTATGAAAGTTGCGTGGTCTTTGGCGACTACTGTACATTTCAGATGGATGTCCAGGTTACCGGTTAGGAGACACTTCAGACGTTTTTTTTTCTGTTTATTACCATTAAGAGTTGCATTAAAAATCTACCTCGAGGCCTTTCTTTTCTGTGGGTTTCGCACAAATCAGAGAAGACAAGATATGATGAAACATGCTCTTTAAAAACACAGAGGCTTTTTTTCTTATTTGTATATCTGTGCAGTTTTGTGCCCTACAAGAGCTATAAACATAGCAGAAATTTTTCTGTTCTACTACCTCTTCAATTCCCATGCATGCTTGTCAAAACGTTTTTTTGTGTTTGCTAATTATCTATTCGCCTTTCGAAAAGCTGTTTTTTCGCAACGTAGCCCCAGTGCTTTGCATTTACCACGGTAATTAGTGCCCACAAAGCCCCACCCATTAACATGCAGGTTCTGCGAACAGCGGAATCTTCTGACTGCTCAATAACAAGCGCCCTTGAGAAAAGAGAGTAGAACGTTTGATGGCTGAATTAGGGGATCAAAGGCAGCAGTTTGCAAAGGCGTACAATGACATAGACATGCGTTGACTTCTCAAAGGCCATTATTGTTTAGATTGGGATCGGCAAACATTAGGCGAAGATGTGTGGAGAAATGTTTAAGTTAGATTCTCAGGAATGACACTTCCGAGAAAATTTAGGGATATAAACGTTTCAGAAGGGATGCAAGTTCCACTTTCATTGGCGACGACGCGTCAACCGTGTCCGTCCCACAGCGTGGTGGGCGTTAATTAGTTTACTATGACGGCAGACTTGCATGGCGTCTATGGCACTCTCTCCTCCTCGCTCGCCTGGGTCCGGTGTTAGGACAGAAGTAAGAAGACCGGAGGCGGTATCGGGCGCATGTGGTTGGCAGGGCTGGGCGTACCATCATACGCTCTGGTCTGAGTACAAAGGACCAGGTCAGAAAGTATATTAAGAATACCGTCGTTCAGCAGGCGAATGTTGGGGGGGGACAGCATACAATTTGGACTGGTAGGTCTGTAGCCCATATTACGTGAGTGAGAAATTATGAGAAGCACTAATTCACCAGCAATGTTGGAGTCTATTATCAAATCAGATTCCAGAACATAAGATCGGCACCCCTCTACTACAGGATAAAGTTCCGAGCTAACATAGTGCTCCCTATAAAGATGCAAGTCGAAAAACAATTCGAAAACAGGTTACTTACTATTCTGATTATAAATATGGAGGAATATGTGAAGCTTAATACAAACAAACGGTACGTTGAGGAGCGCATACATGGTCTAACCTACTACATTAATCTAAATATAGATCTACTGAGGTTTTAGCAAACCTGTTTTTTAAGTCTAACAAGGCGTTACAAATTTGACTTTAATCCAATCAAGTACAACATAGCCCATCAAAATATAATAATTCGGATGTGATCTGAATTTAACATAGGTTAATTGTGATCAAGACATATAAGAACTCACTTGACACACAATACCTCTTAAGGTTTCGACAATTTTGGTTTGTAGTTTAGGAATATCTTGTTGGCTAGATTGACCTTCCTGCTGGATATTTTTTAACTCTCTTACGTAACAAAGGTTGTGACCCCCTGCTCGATTGCTTTCGATGACTAAACATTTAAAAACGCACTCACACCATGCCAACACCCAATTCTGAATGACACTCCCGGTCACTTATGAATTCGCCCATTGTTGATTGTTTTGGGCTTTTTTTACATAATTCTCCGTTTTACGAGTAGGAAATGGCTGACTGTGGTTTACCGAAGACTCCCGAAGTTAATGACCTCATTAAATTTTTCATATTTTGCCACTTCCAAATTGGTGGAATAAAAGTCTAAAAGCGTAAGTTGTGAAGTGAAAAAGACCGCAACAAAATATCCCTTACAAGTGCCAATTTTAAGGATCACATTTCGACAAATTATGGAGAGTTGGGCCTTTGTCAAGTCGCTCTAAAAGCTGGCGTGAACATCCAAAACACAGTAAGTGTAAAATGGTCGTGGACAGTTGGAAAAATTACCGAATAAGTAGTCAGGTAAATAATCACAGAAATGGTCCATTAAATCCTTACTGACCTTCCCTACTCGAAGACAGATTTCGAGGTTCTGATCTCGTAATTACAGTAAATACGGTCACTAACCCACCCCCCCCTCCGCCAAAAGAAAGTTTTGGGTGACCTTCGGTGAGAGGGTAGAAGAAGAAAAGAAGACTGGGAAAAAAAATAAACCTTCTTTGTCCAGGCAACAGAGGAGATGGCATCTGCCTCATCGGCGAAATCACACAGACGGGTGACCAGGCTGGTGTAGGCGTTCCAAAGATAGACACAGGTTCCCAAACCGACTGCGAGGATGTTCTGTGAAGACCAGTCGACCAGGTTAAGGTAGAAGTCATCCTGTAACTCCGGAGCATCGAGGACTTTGTAGGGCATTCGAGGAATTTGACGATTGTACTGGGAAAGAAGGAAGGTAGGTTTTTAGG